TTTCCATGACATTCTAATTTATTGAGATGCACCTGTATATTAGCATGTAGACCTGCTTTCAAACAGGTAACCTCTGTAAGAGAACTCTTAAAGATGCCCACTATTTATTGCAGCTTGTGTCAGGAACAGCTCCCTGATACAGGGGTTCCCATCGCACGCCATCGCTTTGACCACATGAAGGAGAAGCTTGACGACTATGTGAAGAACAGAACTCTTCAGAACTGGAAGTTCTGGATCGTATCCTTCAGCCTGAAATGATTGAACTGAACAAGCTAATAGTTTCTTCAGATCATTCAGTCCACAGTATTCTGTAGTCACATGGCATATGAGTACACTAAATCATTTACCCAACACTGTTCGGCCTGCTTCCCATATGTTTCACAAAAGCGAATAGCGTGAGTTGCGCCACTATTCATCGTCCTGTGTATTAGACTCCACAAGTGTGTGATTTTCTTTAACACTCCTCTCTCAGTTCAGCGTCATTATTCATCCTCTGTTTGAGTCCTTCAAGGCAACGGTGTCGACCGCCAACAGCACAGAGCTGTGTGAAACCACCATGCAGTGGCTGGATCGCTACTGCGCCCTGCCAGTCCTCCGGCCTAGTGAGTTCTCCGTTTCATTTCATTAAAATATCAGCAACTGGAAGCTGAGAATTCATCTTTCTTTGAATGGACAGCAGGGCTGTGCAATTATATTTTAATTCAGATGTGTATCAGTGTACTGGATCCGTGCATTAGGTCTTAAAGTGACAGCAGCCTAATATCTTCGGAGGGTTGATGAAGATTTGTGAATCAAAAAAAGAGAGTAATATTTGAGTTACTTTATGGTGACCTGAAGAGTTATTTTTTAGTTGTTTATATCTCAGATGCGTAAGAACATGGTCAAAGTTTGACAATACTATAATACAATACCTGTGACTACTACACTTGAGACATATTTATACATTTATTAATGTAGTTTATGTGTCTCGTCTGTTCTAGAGACATGATGTTAGTTTTATTTATCAAGTGCAATACTATTTTATTTTATTCTGAAATGTGTACACTCGTACACTGAAATATAATTTTGAAATATGGAAAAACTTTTGCCAAAATTGCAAATATAATTGGAATCTCAGTGTCTATTTAAAGAACTGAAATGTGATTATTTTGTCTATATTGCGCAGCCCTGCTGGACAGAAGCTTCGGTCTGTTTGGCTAAACGTCATACTACAATGTATATGCAGGAAGCCATATGTTTCTAAACGCATGTTAAACTGGAACTTGGAATGGTGTTTTATATTATATTTTTAAAATGTAAAAGTTTTTTTAGAGCATGGTGATATGTATGTTACAGTTGGCTAAGTTAACTTTTTATT